ATGTCTCTTCTGGCATATCTCTTGTTGACTGCAGTAGGAGTCTTGCTGATTTATGCTGTCGTAAGTGGAATCAGATTGGGCTTCTTTTTTGGCATTTAGCTATAAAGTTTTTCTGCAGCAACCCTGCTGCTTCTGTGGTGAATTATAGCCACGTTCCCAAATCCTTTCCTAATGAATGATTGGAAACGTCTTGTTTCCCCTCTCTTTCTCTGAATGATCATGCTGCCGTGCTGTATAACCTGCTGCAGACATGGGCATAAAGAATTTGGTGTCCTCCAAGCTCGGGAGAGCTTTGCTGCAACAGGAGCTGTTTCCTGCTTGGGAAATCATTTAGGCACATCCCGGTGCCATATGACATATCTCATTACACCTTGCTTTCAAACGAGCAATTGCCATTAGTTAGTTATTAATTGCTCCGAAGGTGGTTATGGATGTCCTCTTCATTTCCAAGTTTGCACAGAGGGGGATCAGCCAAACCAGGAATGCCAGTGGGGAAGGGGATCATTGTGGAGACCCAGGGTAGAGGCATCTCCGAGGGGCAGGATCAGCACTTGTAGTGTAAAGGGGTTGTGTACAAGCCTACCTGAGCGAGCAGTGTAGGTGGAAGCTTTAAAGGCTTTAAAGCTGTGTTTGCCCTTCCTTGCCCCCCCTGCCCAGCTCCTGAGCAGAAGGATAATTGGAGGCACAGCTCTCTCAACTTGCTTTCTGCCTCCCTTAAAAAGGACAGAAAGGTTTGGCACACAAAGGAAAGAGAAGGTGCAAGGCCTGGCACTGCATCAGCCGGGTGCTGGACCTTCTCCTGACTCACTAGAGGAGAGACAAGCTACTCTAGTTACAACCTGGAGGAGGTGGATGGGGGAGTGCAGTGTGGGTCCAACTCCTTGCATCAACCTGTAGCATCATCAAACCCAGGGATAGGACCTGTGGTAGCAGCACGCTGTAAAACACAGGGAATTCTGGAGGTGACAGCAGCAAGAAGCTGTTACTAAAGCAGGAGCAGCAGCAGCCTGATGTTGAGGAAGCTGGCAGTGCACATCACAGATTGCCTGCAGAACGCAAGTCTGACTCTCCCTCTTTTTCTTTCTCCGAGACACATTTATAGCTGTTCTTTGTTGTTTCCTTTGATCTGGAGCAGATGTTGCTCGTGCTGGAGGATGGAGGTTTGCATGTGTTATGTATGAGGGGGAAGCGAGGAGATGCTGGGCTCGCTTGCAGGCTGCTGCTGGGGCTGAGTCGTTTGCACTGCCCCGCTCAGCTCCAGCATGAGAAGGGACTTGCAGGTCTGTAAAGGTCACATATGTATTTCTGCACTGCCAAACTCTACTCAGTTTGGCTCCAAAAATTGGGGAGAAAGGATGTGGTTAAGGCAAAAAAATGCCATTACTCCTTGAGGGCCCTCAACTTGGTGAGGCTCATCTGAGGGCTCCTTCCCTGTCTCTGGTGGAGAGACACAACGAGTTTCACCTCAACATGAGGAAGAGCTGCTTGATGTTGAGGGTGGCAGAGCACTGGGACAGGCTGCCCCAGGCAGGGGCTTGGAGCAGCCTGCTCTAATGGAAGGTGTCCCTGCCCATGGCAGGGGTTTGGAACTTAAGGTCCTTGCCAACCCAAACCAAAAGGGGTTGTGGAGTCTCCTAATCTGGAGACATTCAAACCCACCATGGACATGGTCCTGTGTGACCTGCTTTAGGTGGCTCTGCCTTGCCAGGGTGTTGGACTGGATGATCTCCAGAGGTCCCTTCCAACACTAATGAGTTGGAGGAGTAATTGTGGAAGGCACTGGTCCCACAGTGGGTACCATGGCAGAGGAAGTGGTGTAGATGCCCTGCTGCATCCCTAGGCCATGAAGATCTGGGCTCACCACTGCATCATCATGGGATGCATGAGATTTTGCACCAGTGCTGGCTCTGGGATGAGGGTTTTGAGGTGAAGGCACAGCGGGGATATAGTCTGTGCCAGTGGCAGGAAGGTGTCTGTGCGCCAGGGAATATATCTGTGTAGGCAAGCACATATGCTTGGCTCCGTAAAGACATCTATCACCTGACTGAACACCCTCCAACATGCAACGTGCCATATGGTTTGGTTAAATATTTAAGTAAGCTGCTTTCTGGCCTGGGGACTCCATGTGTGTGAGCAGGAACCACAGCTGGGCAAACTGGGAGCATGTCCTAGAGGGGCTGAGAGCAGCCCAGAGCCCTTTCCCATTATCATGGCAAGGATAGGGGAGGAAAAGAGGAGCCAGATCGATCAAACACCAGCCTGCCCCTGGGGAAATCTGTGCTGTGTCACTGGAGCAGCTTGGCCAACACTGCCATGTTTAATCACTTGTAAGCAAAAGAGATGCTGAGCATAAAAGGCCTGCCCGCAAGGAGAGGGTTCCCGCCTGGGAAGCCTGCATTTATTTAGCTTTATGTATTTATTCATTCCCAAAGGAGCACAGCTCCATCTGCATCCTGCATTCAGCAGAAGAAATTCCTCCTCTGCCCCATGGCTGCAGAAATGCCAAGTGATGGTGGAAGTGTTTGAATGCAGAGGGAATGGGAGGACCAGTGACCATTAAATAAGATTAAATAGGTACTTGTGAACCCTTATTTATTAAGGCTTCCCTCCCTAGTGTGGGAAGAGCCTTCCCCTTACCTGATGAGTCTCCAGAAAGGCATTTTACATAGCCCTGGGGTTAATTATTCAAACGTTTAATTAGCATGCAATAACTGCCATGGTAAATCCTACCACTGCACATTGCACTTCAGTTTTGCTGATGTGGTCACTCTGGTTTTACTTCCCAACCATTCCTTCTTCATCTCATCTCAGGCGGGCTGCAGCAAATTGGCTTTTCCCAAGCACGTCCCAAGTGTAATGGGCTTTTTCCTTGCTGTATAGGTGGCTTGAGCTGCGTTTGCACTTGGAGTTGCAAAGTCTCCCATTGCCCAGCAGAGCAGCACCACAATCACCTCTCCTCATCATCCGAGCAACATTTAAATCTCTTTCTGTATTGAGGAGGAGGAGGATATAATGCTCCTATTAAGAGAAATCTAAGTTTAATCTGCTTTGATTATGGTTTAGAATCTGGTCACCTGATTTGATTGCAGATGTTTGTCTCCTGCCTTGTGGGTGCAGCACCAGAGTCACGGTGCAAAGGCTGACTTGATTTCCTTTTTGAAGTCTCGGTGAGCTCTGCAAAACAAGCTGAAATGGGATGATGTGGCTTCAGTAGTTAAAAACATCAGAAAGGTTCCTCTGTGATTTAGCGAGCATCACCTTGATGATGATGGATATTGCTCTAGTTCTGTCGGTACGTTCAGCTGGAAGCTATTTCTTCTTCCCAGGTGATGGCAGACAATTCACTGTGCCTCCACTTGTCTCTTTCCACCTCTGAAATGGCATCAGTAATACCTTCTAGGCCTACTTTTGTTGTCCAGACTTAGATTGGGCTTTTTCAAGTGCACGTGGCTTTCCTGACCGACAGTCCCAGCCTTGCAGGGCAATCATTACACCATTGTAATTAATTGCATCTCCTCAATGGACTACCTGGCATTTGACAGAGCATCTCCCAGCTCTACAGGGGTGCGTGGTCCCAGGAGACATGTGCTGTCCCCTTCCACTGGGCTTAATGACACTGATGCATATTAATATGTCTTTTGGTGTCATCTTTGTGCCCTCCACTGTCCTGCCCCAGGAGCTGTTTTGGGAGCATCTGATCCCTAGTGCATGATTAGTAGATTAACCATTGTGCCCACAGCAGCAAAAAAATGAACTCCCAGAAGCCCTTCAAAACAGAGAATAATTCATTACCCACCTTGATTTCCACTTAAAATGTACTTTAACTACACTTCCAACTACAAACCCTAAATCACCCTCATGTTCACAAAAAATCCATCATTTTTTATTTTATTGCACAGCACTGGCATGACATAATCCCTTCCAGAGTGTCTTGGAGTGCTTTACGGATCAATAAATTACTTACCTGCACAGCAGAGGCAATGCATGCAAGGCCATTGCAGTCATTCCAGCTTGGCACAGCCCCGGGAAGGATGTGGCAAACAGAGATACACAGGGAAAAACGTGCTCAGGATCCAAGGCAGGAATAAGGGGGTTGCAAAGGGCTGCAGCTTCAAGCAGGTCAATGGCTGGGCTCATCCAGGGAGGGTGGAAGGAGCAGGATGCTTTGGAAGTGATTTGTGAGTCTCCTGCACAGCACCTCAGAGGGATGTTGATGCTGCTCAGCTCCAGAGAACGGCCTGGAAAATAATAATCCAAGGAAAGTGATGGTCTTTATTACGTTGTGCAGGTGCAGGCTGCTAACAGCAGCTGTAGAAACCCCAGCCCTCCCTTGGCAGCCGCATCCCTGCTCGCTCCTCATCCCTTCCCCTTCTCATCACCCCCCGTCCTATGTATGCGTCCTCAGTTTCGGTCTGGATCCCTTGCATCTAACCCGCTCCTCCGTGTTCTTGATGGTTTGGGATGGCTTTCATCCCAGTTGCATTTCCCTTCCTTTGCATAGTGCTGGACATTAGAGGCTCCTTGGTAGACTTGTATTCATAGCCAGCAACTTTTGGTGCTTTCCTGGTTGCAAGAGAGCCTGCAGAAAGAGCTGCAAGCCACAGGCATGTTTTGGCTGCTCTTGATGGAGTTTGGAGGGGGTGGATGGTGTTTCCTCAGTAGGATGCAGCTCTGCCAGAGAGGGCTGATAGGACAGGATGAGTCCTGGAAGCAGGGTGTGGGAGAAGTACCATCTCACACACAGAGAGGTGCTAAGGAGGAGCTGTCTTGAGCATCCTGGTGATTGAATCCCTTCTGGCTATAACTTCTTCCCACTTCAGCCTTTGTCTTCTCTGTCCCCCCTTCCCCTGCAGGATCCCGTCAAGCCAAACGACACTGATGAGCTACTGCAGAGCTTGTCAAGGTGGAGGAAGGAAACTCAGCCTCCTTTAGCCCTATTTTGGGATTGGAGTTGGAGCAGAACCGGTTGCATTTTCATTTCCCTCTTTCTGTCATTGCAGTGTCTCCGAAGATCACCGAGATCTCTTCTGACATCTCCATCAATGAGGGCGGCAACGTCAGCCTCATCTGCATAGCCACGGGCAGGCCAGATCCAACAATCACCTGGAGGCACATCTCACCCAAAGGTAAGAGCCAAACCTTACCATAAATACTCTGTAGAAGGCACAAAGCCGGTTGCAAGCAGCTGGGGAGGTGTTGTTGGTTGGTTCACGTAGCAAAGAAAGGATGATGTGAGCCAAAGCGATGGGATTTAATGCAGCAGTTAATGGCTCTGGTGGAGAAACATCCATCTTGGTGGTGGAACTGATGGTTTTGCTCATGTGGAATTCTGGCTGAAGGTACCAGGTTGATGTTGCTTTGCTTAGGGATTGAATGTGCTCGCCTAGCCCTATGTTTGGGGGATCTTGTCACCTGTTGCTTTAAAGGAAGGCTGTAACTAGTGCAAATGAGCAGGAAAAGGCAGGAAGCATTAATTGGTGGCCTTGTGAATTGATATGCAAAGCCTGAGCAGAGCTGTGTGGGTGTGCCAGCGGGGAAGCCAATTCCCATGTGTGCCCATATTATTGCCAAACGGGTTCCCAGATGCTTTTTGGGGTTTGCTTTGGTTTTCGCTGCCCTGTTCTTGCCGGGAGCAACAGAAACCAAGGGGGTGATGCCTGCTTTCTGCCGCTCCCATCCCACCCCAGGCGCTTTCCCCCTGAGGTTTTACCAGTGTCTGCCTCAAGCTCTCCTCGGGGACACCCCGGCTGGGCTGCCGGCAGCCGGAGGAGCCGGCGCAGCGGCGGCAGTGATGGATGGGGCCGTGTCTGCTCTCTCTGTTCAGCTGCCTGACAATGGCTGCGGCGCCTTGGTGCAGCTCCATTGATTTTTTTGCTGTTTGTCTGCTCTGAAGCAAACGGCTGGGCCTGAGCCATCACTCTCCGTAGCTCAGGCAGGGAGCGAGCTGAGGCGGTGGCAGCTCAGCCCATTCCCCTGACAGCAGCAGCCTCTGTAAAAGCCATATTCCCCCCGGTGCACATGTTGGTTTATCTGCTTTAGGTGGTTGTGTCCCCGAGACAGTGGCCTTCGGTCAGGGACTGATGAATGATGAAACGCGGGGCGCAGATGCGTGCGCTCGTCTCCATCCCTGGGTGTCTATGAAGTCGCTGTCAGTGTAGCTGTCACCATCAGGTGGCATTTATGGTGGCGGCAGTCCGTGCGCTCCTGCCTTGAAGCCTTTTCTTCTCTGTCCTCTTCCCCTTGTCTGCGCTGTCAAGGCATTTTTGTCTCACTCAACCTCCTCATTGCTTGTTTTTCACATGCACCTTGTTCCCCTCACATCCCTGCTCTCCTCCCTGCATCTCCTCCTTCCCAAGGACCCTCCTCTCTCATTCCCATGCCATTTGTTGCCTTTTCCCACACACTATCCATCCTCTCCTAACCAGGCTCTGGCTTCCAATGCCTCTGTCTTTTGTGAGGGCTATTTTCCGTGTTTGCTGCCATCAAGCAGGTTTCTTCCCCCAGGGATTCTTTACCTGCGCTTGAACCAGATGTTTCCATTTTACTTAGGACTTAGCTGCTATGGAAACTGAGGATGCACCAGGAGAGGAAGAGTGAGCTAATCAGAAATTACCTGTGGTGCTGTGTAATTTGCAGCAGCAGCTCTTACCTGATTTTGGCCATGATTAGGCATTCTGCTTTCAAAACTCAAAGGGAACAAATGATCACAGAGATTTACTGGAGTCTGGCCTCATGCTGATGGAGGGTGCTGAGCCCAGAGGTGGCCCGAGACAACTCTGGTAGCTGCAGATCCCCACAGGCAGCTCCTGTTTCTCTCTCTGGCTCTGCCAAGCTGCCAACAAGGACCTTTACTTCTTTTTTGCATTCAGCTCACATAGCAGGGATGAGGATTGGAAGTTTGGGGACCGAAATGAGAGCCAGGGCAGGTGCCCAGAGGTGCTGTAGCAGGTGCTGAGATGATAACCCTTTCCCGAGTGGGATATAGTCTAATTTGGAGAGCTGGGAACAAATAAGAACCCAAAGCTCGTTGCTGGATTTCAGGTCTGCTCATCCCCAAGCCTCAAGCGAGTTGCCTCCTGCCTTTCCCCATCCTGCTTGGATTGGTGGAGGAAAGGGATGAGGAGGATTGGTTAAGGGAATGCTGGTGCATAATTGAAGGGTTTACATAGCTGATGGTAACAGCTCTCACCTGTGTCACTGGGGGAGGCTCTGATAGCACTGTCTGTGCCAAGCACGAACAGAGCGGGAGCTGAAGGAGCTGGTCCCTGTGCTTAAGCTGGTGAGTGCTCCTCTGTGCAAGGCTCTTCATGGGCTTTATTATTTCCTTGCTAGCTCTGTGCAGCTCTTGATGGGAAATGGAGGCAATGTAAGAGGTGTTTGCTCACCATGGAGCGTGTGGTTGCGTCCTTCAGTGGATTTATACCAAGAGCAACCTGGTTCCCTGGTGACTGAGCTCACTCAAGACCCTTTTGCAGTCACTCACCTTGACCACTTTGTTGTTTTCTCTCCTGTGCATTGCTCGGGTCTGGTGTAATATGAGTTTGGTCTGGTAACTTTTGTGTCTGCAGTAGCTGGTATGTGATTGGAGCTGTTAAATCTGGGTTTGAGTCTGTTTGGCTGGAAGATTCCCCACAGCCAGGAGGAGGAGAATTTTTGTTGGATAACTCAAGCTGAGTGAACCTGAGGAAGAGTTTTCTGCAAGTGAATCACATCAGTGCTGGCTCTAGCGAAGGGGTTTGTGGCCAGTCCAACCAAGATGTATGACATCTTCCATCCCTTTGCATCAGTCCTCTCTGTCCTTGCTTTTTTCTTCTCCCAGTAATGCAGCTGAATGGGTTGAAGTGGATAAAGATGAGGATCTGGTGTAGTCACAGCTGCTTCTGCATCAGTGGAAGAGGTTTAACTGCCCTGGGTTCGGAGGCTCCAGCTGGCAATGTGACTACCACCAGAGCTGCCAGGCACCGGGGCTTCAAAACACAGTCACCAAAACCATGATAGAAGGCCAAGTTCTGGCATGCCATAGAGCAGATCCATCCCTCCTTGGCAGCCCTGCAGTTCCAGGACCATTGGGATGGCAACCAAGAGAGGCATCCTCAGCAAGGTGAAGGGAGGGAGGAGGACAAAGAGGGAGAGAAGGATGTAGATATATATAACATCCAGCAAGAAGGCAGCAGCATCTTTCCAGAGGAGGTGTAGGTTGTGCTGAGGACTTGGAAGCTGGGGTCTGAAAGTCAGTGTTGTGTGTGCCCACACACATTTGGCTTTGCACTCACAGGTGCTAAGCATCTCTTCACTTCCAAGGCTGTCTTAGGGTCCGCTGTCTCACGGTGCCAATGTCATCTGTAAACTGCAGAGAGGTCTTCTAGACAATAGTCTGGTTTTGGTCACTCAGGTGTTTCCATAGCTACTGGGCTTTGTATTTATTTTGGGGGTAATTCTGATGTTGTCATGGCAATTGCTGTGTTATCAGGCTGGTTTTCATCTCTCATAATAACAAGGGCTTAAGTGTGACTATCCTGCCACGATGGAGGCAGGGGCACGAGGAAAGGATGTAAAATCAGGTGTGTGTATGGCTCATCTGTCTGGCCAACATCAGTCTGCCACACTCAGACATCCCAAGCCAGAGCCTGCATCCAAGTCATCATCCTTAACAACCCTTGATGGACTTTTCTGCCATGTTTTTTGTCTAATTGCTTTTTGATTATTGCTGTAGGATGATGGATTCTGGGGTAAGGCTGAAGACAGCAGCTGCCAGGGTAGGAAAACATTATGGTTTGGCTGCATGGTGTATTTACTCATAAAAGGTCTGATGGAGAGGTTTTTAGAGCAAGAATCCCTCATTAATGTCAGGATTAAGCTGGGTGCTGAAAGCTACATCCCATGTGGAGTCTGAGCTGTGATTTGCTGAATAGGCGCTGCCTCTGCAAGGGAGAGGGACAAGACAAGGGAGGTGCTTGGAGGATGCTGATGTTGCCACATCCCGGATATCCTCCCTGATCATTCCATTTAACCCCTGTGGCCCTCCGTGTCCTCCCTGCAAGAGGTACAATAGCAGTCCCTTGTTTTGCAAGCCCGATGGGAGGATAAATAGATTCAAGACATGAAGCTCTCAGACACAGCAGTAATCACAGCTCGTATATGCACTTAAGATAGATGAGGCCCGGTGGCCTGATGTGGCAGAGGTCTCATGAGATCATCTGTCTATACATGAGCAGCAAAGCAGCAAAGGGACTCTGGGAGAAAGCTGGTATATTTGGATATATTGATTCTCTCTGGCTTAAAACACGAGGACAAGCAACTGCAGAAAAGAATCCAGTTTGAACTGTTGCTTGTCCGTGGGAAGGGGACATGTCTTCCCTCCCCGGAGGCTGGGCCGTGAAGCACATTGCTTGCTGTCTTCATCTTTCCAGGATCCTCTCTGGACAGGAGGCAAAGGATATCTGTAGGTTGGACGTTGGGTTTGGAGCCTGGTTGGGAGGCACAGAGAGAAAAGGGATGCACTTAGGTGGGAAAACCCTGCCTCAAGTCACCTTATTACCTTAAGGCCAGAAATCCATGTTCTCTGCTGGTCCTTTTAACAGGGAAATAGCTCTTGGAGAGAGCAGATGGTTTGTGTAAGGCTGTTTTTTGGTTCATCCTGGGGCTTATGTTTCTGCACTCTCTCATGTCTCCTTTTGAGACAGTGTGTGAGCCAACCCAAGTTGTGTCTCAAAGAAGGGATGAGAGTCCTCCTACGGCAGCTATACAATGGGTCGCAGAGCTGCAGTGTTGGCTTAGGTTGGCTTGGCCACCACAGTGGATGTGACGTCCCTCCTCCCCATGTTTCATGCATCTCAGAGTAACCAAGTATCTCACCGAGGCTCAGACAACTCCTTTGGTGGCAGAGAGCTTTGTCCTCCTTCCAAGAGGCAGTTGCAGGCCTGGACTCGAGCTATATTAACTGAAGCATTTCAACCAGCTCCAATCCTGTCGGCAGCTCAACCATCCCCTTGTTTACTGTTGAAATAATTACTGCTTTGCCATAATATTAGCTCTGAGCCGTGACTCCATTACCATTACCGCCGGAATATTACCCATTTATTATCTCCCAGCAACCCTGGAAGATGAACACTAGGCTTCAGAGACC